CAAGTCAAATATCCTGTAATGCATAACATTTACTAAGCCTGCAAGTGAGATATGAAATGGAGCTTGGCAGGCATGTAGCTGGTGGGGGGGGCTTGAGGGGCGCCCCCCCCCCCGAAATTCTCATGGTGGTCCGCGAGAAAGGCCTTACTGGTACATTATTTAAACTGTTATGTTTATTCATATCATGATTGATCACCATGCTCAATATATCCCATATGCATGGGGGTATTGGGTAACGATACAAAAGGTTTGCTAGGGTAGACCCTCTTTCACTCAGACTCAGCCCGCCCCTGAACCAACCCCCCCCCCCGAATCGAAATCCTGGCTACGGGCCTGGAGCTTGGACATTTTAATGTTTTTAAGTATAAGTAACTAATACTGCCATATCCAGGCATCTAGCAGAACTTAATAACAAGAAAAAAATGATTTCAGCTGTTTATTGAAGGAGAGCAGTATCAAAAGTTCTCATGACTTCATCTGATGGCCTCCTGTTGGTCAGAGGCAGCAATTAAATATACAAAAACAACCTCTGAGGATGCTTGCCATAGATGCAGGTGAAACTTCAGGAGAGAATGCCTCTAGAACATGGTCATATAGCCCGAAAAAACTTACAACAACCCAGTGATTCCGGCCATGAAAGCCTTCGACAATACATACAAAGACTTTATAGCAAGATGGATATTGCTCACTGTCTCTCAGACTGGAAAGGCTATGAAAAAAAAATAACCGCCTTGCCTTTGAAAATCTTTAATTAGTCAGAACCTCTGCATGTATAGTATATTTTCTATTGTGTTTGTATATACAACTAAAAATGTCTTTCCATCATTCTCTGTCTTCCAATCATTGTGGTCCTCAGTGCTGAAAAACAATGGGCAACACCCCCCTGTGCAATGTTTGTGAGGTATAAGAGCTTCTGCAGGCATGTAGCCAGGGGGGGGGGCTTGAGGGGCTTCAGCCCCCCCCCCCCCCGAAATTCTCATGGTGGTTCGCGAAAAGGCCTTACTGGTGCATTATTTAAACTGTTATTTTTATTCATATCATGATCTGATCACCATACTCAATATATCCCATATGCATGGGGGTATTGGGGTAATGATACAAAAGGTTTGCTAGGCTAGACCCTCTTTCACTCAGACTCAGCCCCCCCCCGAAACTCAGCCCCCCGAAACCCCCCCTGAAAAAAAATTCAGCCCCCCCCCCCCGAAACGAAATCCTGGCTACGGGCCTGTCTGTAAAGAAAAGGGGCTAATCTTTCAAGAAGCTGACTAGAATTCAAATGCTATCTCAATTATAGACCAAATTGCAGCTGTGGATTGCAAGGTAAGATCTTGCAGTGTGAAATCTGAGGGCCCTTCCACACAGCCCTTTATCCCAGAATATCAAGGCAAAACATCCCACAATATCTACTTTGAACGGGGTTACCTGAGTCCACACTCAGGGCACATCTAGACAGCCTTTTATTGTGGAAACTTGTGCAATAAAAAGGGGTTGTCCACATGAGGTCCTGGACAAACCCGAACTAATCTGCCACAAACCAGGAAAACCCTGGGGTAAACCCGGTACTTCCAGTGTCTGGACTGCAGTTCAGACAGTATTCCCACAGTTTTCTGGGCTAAAGAAATACCAACCCCCTCCCCAAAAGACCTAAAAAAAAGTACTTACCCAGCCGCCATTGGAGAGCTGCTGCAGCTCTCCTGGCACGTAGAAATAACACGCCAAGAGAAGGGGAGGGGGGAAGAAGAAAATCACTCCTGCCCCCCCCCCTCCAATTTCTCCTGGTACATCATTTTTACATGCCAGGAGAGCTGTGGCAGCACTCCAATGGAGGCCAGGTAAGTGCTTTTCTTTTTTCAAGGGCTTTTTGGGGTCTTTTGGGGAGGGGGTTGCAGTGTTCCTGTGTTCTTCCGGGACTTCCCGGAAGAAATCTGAACAACCACCCCAGAAAGTTTGTGTTCCTGGGCAACGTCCTTGCAGACGGCCAATTCTCTCACACCAGAAGCAACTTGCAGTTTCTCAAGTTGCTTCCGACATGGAAAAAAAAGGTTGTCAAAAGGGAAAGTATCCTCTTTTCTAAGCAGTAATGAAAGGTGAGAGCTTATTTCATTCTGGGAGAATCTAAAAGAAGCATTAACATCCCCTGCTCTCTTTGCTGCTGTGCCACTTCTAGCCTTTTAAAATGCCTGAGTAGGCAAATAGTACCGGTGGCAGTTTTTTTTATGCTTCCTCTTAAAAGAGTGCCAAAAGAATAGAAAAGGTTAGTGTTTCTTTTAGGGTTTCCCAGGATAGTCTAGGGCACCATCTACATCGCCATATAAAATCCAGATTATCTGCTTTGAACTGGATTATATGGCAGTGTAGATTCATATAATCATGTCCACAGCAGAAAATCTGGATTTTACGGTAGTGTAGATGGGGCCTAAGGCCATCCATGCTGCTATATAAAATCCAGATTATCTGCTTTGGATTACATAGCCGTGTAGACTCATATAGCCTAGTTCAAGGTAGGTAATCTGGATTATTTTCTTTGATAACCTGGATTATATGGCAGTATAGATCCAGCCGAAATTCTCAGAGAAGGTATGGTTTCCTTGTTGATAACAGTCAATACTGTAATTTAAGTTTTATTCCCCCCCTCCCCCAAAAGAAACAATTCCTTCTCCAATTGGTGGAAGCTCTTTTTGAAACCCTGGTGGGAAAAGTTAGTGGCAGCCAGGGGTAGCTGATCCTTCCCAAGACGGTGGTAGTACTTTTTCTCCCTCGACTTTCCTACAGGTCATATCCATACTTTTGGACCCAAAACCTACCTGTGATTTATATATGAACACAATTTATATATGAGAAAATATAAGGTAGTTGTGATATCCAGCATTATGGATAACCACTTCCTTTCCTGGGTCCAGCTCTGTCTCCCTTTGAATATGTGCTGCCTTTAGTCTCAAGAAAATGCTTTCTATAAATCTTATGCCAATTTCCAAGTGAAAATTCTACATTCTTTAAAAGGGAGGAAAAGTAGCTTGAATATTTTAAGTTCTTCTCAGGTGAAAAATACTGTAACTCCTACAGTCAGTGTTAAATTGCGACACAGAGAATACAGCACTCTGTCAATCATCGTGAAATGGAATAAATATGTACTGCATCAAAAATTATTGTAGTTCAAGAGGCAGATGTGGCTGAAACTGAATCTGGCAAAGTCTCATGATAATGTCACCTCTAATGTCATACTGGCAGTAGATACTTCACAAAGGAGATTGTTCCACTCCCAAGCAGTCAGAACACTCTAATTTTCAAATGATTTTACCTGTAGTAAATTGTTCATGTAGTCCCTATTTCTCAAGATCTGCACTTCGTACAGATCCCCCGGCAGATTCTTCCTAGTAGGGATTGGCATTAGACTTCTTTTACAACGTAATATACATCATATAAGGGCAGCATGTAAACAATACAACTGAGGAACCAGTCAAATTTGATACAAGAGCTTTATTACAGAAGCAAAATGCAAAACACAGCACTGTTCAAGAAAAGTCTGTAATTCCTTAGGAAATAGGTTTCCTAAAACACAATGTGCTGAACCTTGCCTGAGGTGATTATTATTGCCTGAGTGAAAATTTGAGATTGATGCCTGCATATACACAGACCATTTGATGCAATTCAAAGCTAACTTCAAACTGTGGTGATTGGACAACAAACTCACATAGAAGCATGTGAAAAAAACTCCTTAATGAACATCAGCACTCTGTGGTTTGTATAATCACCATCTAGGCCTCAAACTGATTCCAGGATTTCCTATGCAGTCACCTGCACTGAGAAACCACTTTCATCAATAGTGGTTTGAAACTGCATTAAATAGTCAGTGTAGATGATGCCAAATATACCTACTATCTAGGAACACATGCTGGAACAATTGTTGCTTACTAAAAGAGAATGGGCATGACCATAGTCACATGTCAGTGTACATTTAGCATTGCATCTCTGCAAATTACATTGGTTTAAGGATCCAGTTTGACTATCCAATAGTTCTTAAAGAAAAAGTCATGATTTTGCTTTTATTGAAGATTCCAGTCTATAGGTAGATCAAATTGCCAGTCTTTACAAAAAAAAAAAAAAAGAAAGAAAAAAAGCTGGTTCTCACAGACACTGAATTAGAATTAGCATGGTATTGAAAGGGGGAGGGATTGATCCCTGGCTTGAACCTAGTGCAAAAGCTTTGCCCATGCTCATCCTCAATACACTGGTCACCCTATGATAAAACATTCAGTGTAGGAATGGTAAGTGCAACAGACATGGGGAAACATGCATTTCAACAACATCTTATGTTCCTCACCTCTGACCTAAATGCTGAATGGGCTACCAATACTGAGGGACAATGTAAGCTATCAAGATGAGGGAACAAGGCTTTACAGAAAGTAAAATTCTTGTGTGGTTCATCCAGGGAATAATGTAGAAGCCCAGGGTCTGAAGAAACAATCATAGAATCATACAGTCATAGAGTTGGAAGAGACCTCGTGGGCCATCCAGTCCAACCTCCTGCCAAGAAGCAGGAAAATCGCATTCAAAGCACCCCCAACAGATGGTCATCCAGCCTCTGTTAAAAGCCTCCAAAGAAGGAGCCTCCACCACACTCCTAGGCAGAGAGTTCCACTGCTGAACAGCTCTCACAGTCAGGAAGTTCTTCCTCATGTTCAGGTGGAATCTCCTTTCTTGGAATTTGAAGCCATTGTTCCCTGTCCTAGTCTCCAGGGCAGCAGAAAACAAGCTTGCTCCCTCCTCCCTATGACTTCCTCTCACATATTTATACATGGCTATCATGCCTCCTCTCAGCCTTCTCTTCTTCAGTCTAAACATGCCCTCCTCATAGGGCCCTTGATCATTTTAGTTTCCCTCCTCCGGACACATTCCAGCTTGTCAACATCTTCCTTCAATTGTGGTGCCCAGAATTGGACACAGTATCCCAGGTGTGGTCTCACCAAGGTAAAATAGAGGGATAGTGCTCTCGAGCCATGCACACATACTGCTCTCGAGCCATGCACCCCCCATTCTGTATCTTTGCATTTCATGTTTTGTGCCTGTGGAATATCTTTCATTTGTCACTGTTGAACTTAATTTTGTTAGTTTTGGCCCATCTCTCTAATCTGTAAAGATCGTTTTGAATTCTGCTCCTGTCTTCTGGAGTATTGGCTGGCCCTCCTAATTTGGTGTTATCTGCAAACTTGAAGATCAAGCCTTCTAGCCTTTCATCTAAGTCATTAATAAAGATGTTGACTTAGATGAAGGGTTAAAAGGCACAATCAACCCCTCCTCTCCACCTTGCAGCTCCAGACACACAAGCTCTGTACTGTTCAAGAGAGCTCACAGCAAAGTGCACATCATGCCTTTGCGTTTGACCTCCAATGCAGCAACCATCAATGCAAGCTTTCTCTCATTATATGGTGGGTAACGGATTGAGTTGATTGCTTCCATGCCCATGCAGCGCAAGAGGGTGCCACGATGGTGACTGAATGTGTCGAAGGAGAACTTTCCATGGTACTTGCCATAGCCACTGAATCCTAAAACACAAAAAGAAAAGATGCAAATCAAAATCTGTTCACTGACAGAAGTTTCCCATTTACTCTGCAACCTCTTTGCTCTGCTCTTTCTCATTTAGACCATGTTGAAGGAGATTTCACACAGCCCTTCTTCTCTACAGCCCTTCATGTTTAGTAGGCAGGTTCTTTTCTGGATTCCACCCCTTTTGGTCAACTTTACTGAGTCCAGAGGCTAGCTTTTTGGTCTTAGGGTTTTTATGGGGAGCACATAGGCTGCCAAAAAAATAAAGCAGAAGAAACCTGGAAGGGGCTAGAAGTCTACTTCTAGGTTTGAAAACTGAAAAAACAGTGTTTAACTATGTAAGGAGGAGGTCTGAGACTGACAGAAAAGATGGGCCACTGCTTGTGAAGGTTCCTATGAGAGTCCGTTCTCTCTCTCTTTTAAGTGTGTAAAAAAACGTGAAGTTTGTGTGGATGATAGTAGATGATCTAGTACAGTAGAAGCAAGGCGTAATACATGAAATGTATTATGCCTTGCTTCTACAATAAATGTGAAACATCAACTATGGGCAAGTCACTCTTGTTGCAAAATGTTGAAATGTGTAGCCAGCAGCTACACAGTAACTACCCTTGGGTTGATAGGGCAGTCTATAAATAAACTATAATAATAATAATAATAATAATTATTATTATTATTATTATTATTATTATTATTATTACTATTATATTACACACCTCATAGGCATTTTGTGTAACTATTTTGTGCAACCTCATAACTGTAGTAGCACAAAATAGCTATTATAAAGACTATAAATCAAATAGTTGGCCTTGTGTGGTTTTATTTTCAAGTCCATTTTAAATTTGATTTTTAAGACTCACAGAAGCCCTACAATGTCTTTGCAGAACCATAGGGTTCCACGAACACTGTTTGTGAACGACTGTCCTTGGTTATATGCAGAACTTGGAAAAGATAGGTACTTGAACACACAACCCCCCTGTTATGTCAGCTCCAATGGCTGTCAGTCTGCTACTGAGCACAATTAAAAGTGCTGGCTTTGGCCTATAAAGCCTTAAACAGTTCTGGCTCAGCTTACCTGTCCAAATGTATCTCCCTCTATGAACTGGTTAGAGCATTAAGATCTAATTAGAAGGCCCTGTTCTCAATCCCATCCCCCTTGCAGGCACAATTGGTGGGGACGAGAGACACGGCCTTCTCAGTGGTGGCCCCTTGGCTATGGAATTCCCTCCCCGATGACATTAGACTGGCCCTCCTACTCCTCATATTCAGGAAAAAGTTGAAGACCTGGCTATGGCACCAGGCATTTGGGGAATAGTGTAATATGGAATGCAGCATTAACGTTGACTATGACTATGGCACTATGTTTTAATCTGTTTTTAAATTGTTTTAATTGTATTAATATGCTTTTACCTGTTTTATTACTCTATATGTCTATTTGTTTATATTGCAATGCGGCATTGAATTTTGCCATGTGTGTGAGCTGCTTTGAGTCCCCTTTCGGTCTCAAAGCAGAAGAGTGGGATAGAAATATAGTAAAGAAAGAAAGAAAGAAATGGACAGTAACTCCTAGGACTTCCCCCTCAACAGCTCACTGGGAGATTCTGGGAGTTGCTGTCCAACTAAGTGTTTTTTGATCAGTAGCCAGCATGTCATTTCATGCTGAGACCTTCCACAACCACTCATGTATTGTGAGGAGATAAGATACTCACTATCAAGATAGTAACTCTTTGTTGTGGATGGAAAATACTATTAGTATTAATATTGTATATATATTCCTGTATTTTGTACTAAGCACCCACCCAATTTTTTTAAAAAAATATTGTGAAATGACATTAATTAATAAGATTGAGATGGGCTGTAAAATGGATTAGTTATATAGAATTATATAAATCTGATGTAATACAAAAGAGAGAAATAAGAAAATTGCAAGAAATGTTCTGAGCCAGTATTGTCACCTTACAGGGTTCTCTCTGACATCAAATATAAGTAAGCTTAATAGACTGCAGTTTGACGTGACACAATGGGTTAATGGCTATTAATTCATTTGTTGTAATTTTTGCCTATGATTTGCATATATGGATAGGGATAATATGGGAACCTAGGAGGACTTTGATCCTCTTTGTCTCAGAAATAAGTAAGACAAACAGAAAGCTCATCTGCTCTCATATATTTTGAGATTGGAGACAAAAATTAATGCAAAAATAGAGAATAAAAGATGCCAGCCACAGATGCAGGCAAAACATCAGGAGAAAATGCTGCTAGAACACAGCCATGCAGCCCAGAAACCACACAACACCCAAAGGAATAGAAATATATGTGAGACGAAGAAGTAGTCATACCAATGCCACCAAATGGTAAGGTGACCAATGCTGCATGCAGCAAGGTATCATTGCCACCAAAGCCACCGCTGCTGGTACAATTCAGTACGTGATTCACAACCTATGGGAATTAACAAGAGAACAGGTGTATTAGGAGCCTTCTCCATGATCAGTGTATTTTTATGCATATAGCTGTAGAAAATTGCAGTCATCTTCCAATATACAAACATTTCATATTCATGAAACTGGATTTTTAAAAAAGAAAGTTAGAACAAATAAAAACCCCAAAAATATTAATATATTTATATCTATCTATCTCAGGGTGGATTCTAAAGTTATCAATACTGACAGAGACCTCTGTTGCAAATGGATGTGATATTTTGAAAGCATTTCACATGCAGGTTTGACTTTTGTAGGTTTGGTATGAGCTGATTCAGTTAAAATAGGGCCACTTCCACACAGCTGAATAAAATCACACATTATCTGCTTTGAACTGGAATATATGGCAGTTTGTGTGTGTGTGTGTGTGTGTGTGTGTCAGGAGCGACTTAAGAAACTGCAAGTCACTTCTGGTGTGAGAGAATTGGCCATCTGCAAGGGCATTGCCCGGGGACACCTGGATGTTTGGTGTTTACCATCGTTATGGGAAGCTTCTCTCATATCCCTGCATGGGGAGCTGGAGCTGACAGAGGGAGCTCAAGCTGCTCTCCCCGGAATCGAACAAGGGTTTAACCCATTGTGCCACCGGAGGCTCCTATATATGGCAGTGTGGACTCAGACCACCCAGTTCAAACTAGATATTGTGGGATTGTCTGCCTTGATATTCTGTGTTATATGGCTGTGTGGAATGGCCCTAGGAATCTCTAGGTTCTCCAGCACAACTCTATGGCCACCTTCCAGCAAAGAATTACATCGGATGACCTAGAGATTTGTAGAGAGGTGTTCTATCAAGTAAAAAAAAAATAGCATTCTGTCCAGGGACGACCTAGCTATGGTACTCCAGGCCACAGTCATCTCAAGACTGGACTACTGTAACGCCCTCTACATTGGCCTTCCTTTGCTGGTGATCCGGAAGCTCAAACTGGTGAAATTGTGTTAGATTCAAGTTTGTTTCTTGTAAGCCGCTCCGTGCCCTAGGGGAGTGGCGGCATATAAATTTGAATAATAAATAAATAAATAAATAAATAAATAAAATTTTAATTGCCATTTTTTCACTTTCATGAGGGATCTTGCATTTTTAACCTAAGCTAATGCAGAAGACCTACTGTAATGCAATGTTTTTTCAGCTTTGTGGCTAGGCTTGCTTGGACAGGCCTCATGCTACATTTCCTGGACACAGTGATCTTTAACACTTACATTGCTGTCGCAAGAGAAAGCATAAGTAACCAGTGGACGCTCTTTGCTGTTGATGAAGCAGATGGCCTCATCCATGTCAGCCACAGTGAAGATGGGCAAGATGGGCCCAAAGACCTCTTCCTGCATGGCTGGCTCCCACTCCTTCACATCAGCCATCACTGTGGGGGCTGCAGGCAGGAAGATCACATCAAGAAACATCATGCTACATGTGACACACTGTTCCCATATGACCATGGCCTTAGCATTCCCTCCCAGATGCACAAGTCCACAATTGGAGGACTCAGTGCTTGCTCTCTGTAAACCAGGGCCAGAAAGAGATGCAGGCTTCCAGATGCTATTAGGTTATAATCCCCATGGTCTTCCTCATTGCTGCACTCACCAAGGCAGACAGCTGCACTTTCATGACACCTGTAAGGCCCCATTTTAATCACCAAAACCTTTGTAGAAAGTCTCCTAAGTAGTCACAACAAAGGATCTCCCCACATCCCAGCCCCAGAGAGCAGGCCACTTTCTTACCAATGTAGAGATCAGATTCGTCTGTTTCGCCACCTATGGTCAATCGGCCAGACTTCATCAATGCTTGGACACGCTGGAAATGCTTGTCATTGATCATGCGGCCATAGTCAGGGGATTCGCGCGGGTTGCAGCCATAGAATTCACGGATGGCCTGACGGAGGCAAGGCATCAGCCTCTCTTGAGTTTCAATGGTACAGATCACATAGTCGGGTGCAATACAAGATTGGCCAGTGTTAAAAAACTTTCCCCACACTATCCGGTTGGCTGCATTCTGGAAATTGCAGCAGCTATCTACATAGCAGGGGTTTTTGCCTCCCAGCTCCATAGTCAAAGGTGTCACATATTGGGCTGCTGCAGTCATAACAATCTTTCCCACACGGTGGCTCCCTGCAAAGGGATGACAAGATATGGGCGGTCACAAAGAGACATAAATAAATAGGTGGTTTCACCCAGAAATCCTTTCCTAAATTTTGCATGAAAAAAATATTGTGCAGTCTTGTCATGGCAGTGCAGTGGGTTAAACCATTGAACTGTTGAATCTGCTGACCTAAAGGTTGGCAGTTCAAAGCCATGGGTCGGGGTGAGCTACCACTGTTAGCCCTACCAGTTCAAATATATGCAAATGTGAGTATATCAATAGGTACCGCTTCAGTGGGAAGGTAATAAAAGGTGCCCATGGAGCCATGCTGGTAACATGACCAGGAGGTCTCTATGGACAACAGGCCTCCCAGCATGGAAATGATCACCTTCCCATGGTCGGATGTGAGTACTGCCTTCAGAAGCCGGAGATGAAAGGGGAAGCCTTTACCTTTGTTCTGTGTATTTATATGTCATTGTTATTTCACTGTATTAAAGGCATTGAATGTTTGCCTATATGTGTATGTTGTAATCCGCTATGAGTCCCCTCAGGGAGATAGAGCGGAATATAAATAAAGTGTGTTGTTGTTGTGGTGATGGTGGTTGTGTGCCTTCAAATTGTTTCCAACTCGTGGTGATCCTTCTGAGAGCTATACTGAAGTTTTCTGAAATTAAATGTTCTCTAGAGTTGTAGTCCAGCACTTGAATTGCCATATCATGCTGACATCACATAGAAAATATCTAAATTAGGCTTCACAGATGACCAAAAATTATTCCAATACTCTACTATTAATCAAAATATTTATATATAAACCATTTATGTCCAATCTTTGCATAAATATTATTTTATATTTGTACAATATATTAATGCATATTAAAAGATGCATACATGATGCTCAAGCAGAGTTGTATTGCCAATGATTAATATCACTTAATTAGTTGTATTAACTAGTATGTAGGCTTGAACTTCCTGAAAATACCAGCTAAGAAGGCCAGGCTTGGTCAGAACTTCGATTGGGGACCACCAAGGAAAGTGTGTGTGTGTGGGGGATAGCAAACCACATCAGAGTACACCTTGCCTAAGAAACCCTTTGAAATTCATGATGTCATCATAAGTTGGTAGGCAACTTGAAGGGACTTAGAAACAATAAGTATTATTAGCACAAATAATTACTTTGTATATAGCAATGACAATACAGTTCTGCCCAAGCAAATTAATGCATGTTTTTTTCATAATATCATATCTTTGAATTTGATTCATTACCGAAGAGGTAACACAATATTCAGAATAAGGAGGAAACAACAATAAAAGAGATTTCAAACATTAGGTCACAAAATGTTTGGTCCATCACTAACCTATCAGATAATAACATCAAGGAGTCAAAAAGATGGAGATGCTTCAAGTTGATTTCCATTTATTGTAATTACAAAATTTGAAATCACATCATTTGAAGTTTGAGAACAATATTTGAGTTTCAGACAAACTCATTTTAACTGTTAACAACTGAAGAATGGACATACTCATACAAATTATATGTTTGGGCTTGCTGACATTGAACTGATAGATAGATCTTGCAACTGGGCTGAATTTTAATTGTTAATTTACTTTGGATTTTGCTTCTGTCTTTTTCCTTTTTTCCCTAACTGGACACAACCTGATGATTCCTAAAATCTGTAATTCAAAAAAAGAAAAAAAAGGTTGGTTCACCTGTAAAGAAGATGTAATCAAACTTGTTCTCCAGCAATTTTGTTGTCTCTTCTGGCCCACCTCTCACAATCGCAAAGGTTTCCTGTGGAAAGGGGAAGAAGGAAGAAAGTTCCTTTTCAAACTTGGAAAGCAAACCTATGTGATAGGTACTCATAGAAATATAGATTTACAGAAACATAGAGTTGGAAGAGATCACAAAGACTATTCAGTTCAACACCCTAAATCCAGTCCAACATCCTTGAATCAAACTCTTATGGAGAAAAAAACACAATGTGTGGTGTTCATTTAAAGCAGGGATGAGAACTGAACAACCTTCAGGTGTTGTTGAAGTGCAGCACCCAGCAGCTCCAAACAGACACAGCCAATAGTGAGGAACGCTGAGAGCTGGAGTCAACATTTGGAGGGATACACAGTTCCCATTCCTGATCAGAGGGAAATTCTTTTATTTTGTGTGCAATTCATGAACCCCATGCCTATCACCCATTCTTCTACAGCATTATAGCAAGGAAGTGAAGCAAACGTTTTATTTTAGATTTGGTGTGCTAGTACAAACTTTAAGCTTGAGATCACAGTGGCTTAGAAGCCCTACTTTATCCTTAGGATCGCTCAAAGATTGTTAAAGCAGATCACAAAATAGCAATTCAACCATAACTCCATATATGCCACTTCTTCCCAGGGGTCAATAGAATTTTACAAGCTCTAACAAGGGGACTCTGTGTGTGTGCATGTTTGTGTCTTCATGTTTCCTGTCCACGTATGGTGACCCCCATGAATTTTATAAGATTTTCTTGGGCAAGAAATGCTCAGTGGTTGGCTGTCCAAGTACTAACCAAGGCCGAGCCTGCTTAGCTTCAAATATCAGGCAGGATATGGTGCATTTAGAGTATTGGAAATGTAGGCAGATGAACTGTTAGGATGAAAATAATAAGGAAGATGTGATACTAATAAACTCACTGGGTCAAGATAGCAAGGCAATGCTTCAGCAAGAAATCTTTCAGTGTGGGTGCTTATCTCAGAAGGTTTGAGAATCACGCAATTTCCTGGAAGAAGAAAAAAAGAACACATTATCACAGTAGGGAGAGATACTGATCCATCCCATGACTGGAACCAGCCAATCAACCAGCCCACCCCTGAAATCAGTAGTCCAAGGGAAATGATTCTGGGATTCTGGTGAGGAACGCTAGATGGAAGCCCTGAAAACAGTTTCCTACTCACCAGCTGCAATGGCCCCCACCAGAGGCACCAAGGCAAGGTTGACAGGATAATTAAAAGGTGAAATGATGAGCACCACGCCAAAGGGGTCCTTGCGAATGAAAGCACTGTCGAGCTTCACGGCCTACAAAGAACACAAAGCAAGAAAAGTCATGAAGCATGTGCAGCAAAGTAAATAAATAAATAAGTGATTTGTGGCAACAAAAGTTCTCCTTTGGTCACTACTAGGATCAAATGCTGGAGACCACCGCTTGAGACCCATCTTGCCATCTTTAAACAAATCTTGTTGGAATAGCACTCCCACCAGTCCCTTGGCAGCAGAGGCAATGCTGAGGAATGCTAGAAGTTGCAGTTCTATAACATCTGTACAAACAGACAATTCTCATTGCACAGATAAGACAAACCTGGTTGACCAAGATGGGTGCCCATACATTACTTCAAAAGAGGAAATATATGGGTTCCCCCACAACCCACTTAATTAAATAGCCCATTTGTTATAAATGTTCCCTCCAACAAACACGCAAAGGCACACTGTCTCATCTCTTGAATTGACCCCCTTACAAGATTCTTGGACACATGTTCATCCTTCATCCAACACTCCAGGTTGTTAAGGGCTTCATTCACTTCATTCTTCGTATAGCCAACTTCCGAGATCTCAGATTCAAAAATAGGCTGCAGGAAAGGTGGGAAAAAAGAAGAGAAAACCCATCAGTGAAGTCAACCTCAGGCTCAAGAGCCAATGTGAGCAACAATTTCTCAGGTGCCTCTGACTTGGAGGAGAGTTGTGGTCTTAGGTTGGAGAGTCTCACTCACTTTGCACAAATCTTCTTGCAGGACATGGAAGAGATCATTCCTTCTCTCATCCAAGAAGCGACCCAATCCCTCCAGCTGCTCTTTCCGATATTCTACCGGGCGTGTTTTTCCTGATAACCATGTGGCACGTAGGGAATCCACCAGTCCCGTGTAGGGGTTCGTGCTGAGGAAAAAGTAAGGCCTCATATTCAAAGGGCTATAAAAGAACATCCCTATATATGCCTCTATGGGTAGGTCAATTACCTCAGCATCATGCCCAAAAATAGGATGCCCCACAATTATTCTGTTGTTGCTGCACTATTTTATTTATTTATATCTCATCTATTCTACAGCTCTGAGATCCAAGGCAACTTAGACAATTTAGATAACAGATAAAAGTTCACATTATAGAAAATTTAAAATGTAATGAAATTTTCAATAAACTCAAAGACTACCAAACTTTTTCCCTTCATATTTAGCATCACAGCCATACAGGAACACAAATGTAATCTGCAACAAAATGTTGTGCTATACCCTAATCCCATTACAGGGTTGCAAGGGCTACAAACCCAACCATATTCCAGCCATAGGGTAATATTAAAAACTGAGGCAGATTTCCAGCAAAACAACAACAACACCCCCCCCCCCCCCCCAAACCCCAAAAAACCCTGGTTCTGCAAAGCAGACATTAAAATCCTGCAAAGAAAATTCCAAACAAGGTTTTGGAATTGAGAAGAAATCATCATCTCACATGTGAATATATACAATGAATGAATGAATGAATGAATGAATCCAGAATCCCAACTATAAACAAGACTAACCACTTGTATTTTCATTCAAAGCTTTTGAAGTACGGTTTCACTGCCTTGCTCATGGAAATTGATGGAAGGTGTTGATAATTTGGTCATTTTTTCCCCCATTAGCTCCCTTTGTTTAACAGCATTTATGACCTTCTACTTGTCTTATTGTCTTCAACACAGTTTGGAACAGCCTGGAAAATTTAAAACATGCTCTTACTTTTGCCATATTTACATAATCACACCCATGCTGTCATTCATTAATTCAAGGAAACGTCACAAAGGGAACTTATGATGCTAAGTGTTTCATTTCACAAATATGAAGGAATATGAAGGATGGAAACTACTATTTCACAAATATGAGTGTACAGATGGGCATTACATAAAGGCAACATAAACTTTAGCACATGTCATTGGATATATAGGTATTTATTGTATTATTATTCCACATTTGAACAAGGAGCCATTGGAATAAAATGGGAAATCTCCTTCAGGTGCTTTTGAACATGGAAATGAAGGCATGAGGAAATAATGAGATTGAGAGATATAAGAAGTGACACTGAAATAAAATGGGAAATCCCTTCCAGGTCCTTTGGAACATCGAAATGAAGAGAACTAGAGATATAGGAAGTGACATAAGATGCTTAGTAGAAATCCTATAGAGCTGACTTTAAAAAAAAAAAAAAGCAAGCATGAAAAGAATTAATTTGGGAAAAAGCTCTTCCAAAAAAAAAAAGCTTAGCCAGTGTATGAAGTTTAGACTATTGATTATTCTTACAGCTTGGAAGTTAACACATTATAAAAAAAACTATAGCTATACTGCCTTCTGTGTAGAAATATATAAAATTGGACTGTGAAACGGTTCCAGCCCAGTTAACTTGTCCAAGCGTATCTCCCTCTATGAACCATCTTGGAAGTTAAGATTGTCCAGGGAGGCCCTACTCTCAGTCCCACCTCCTTCGCAGGTGCAATTGGTGGGGATGAGGGACAGGGCCTTCTCAGTGGTGGCCCCTCATCTGTGGAACTCCCTCCCCAATGAAATTAGATTAGCCCCTTCTATCCTGACCTTCAGGAAAAAGGATGTGGCTTTAGGATTAAGCTTTTGACAAATAAGTGGAGCAGTGCAGTTAAGTGACCATGAATTAATGTGTTGATAAATGGAACGGCCTTAGATTATGTTTTGGATGATGTGATTTTAATTGATGTTTTAACAATTTATGTTTTAATTGTTTGGGTTTAAGTGCAATTGTATATTGATATATGTATGTTGGCGCCAAATTGCTTCTCCACAACTCTTTACCTAACCTACATCAGGAACATGTCTGGAAAATTCACATACTTTACTCAGGACATAGTGACATTTTGCCTGGTCTTCATGACAAAGGGTCTGTGTCCCCTTTTAAAAAATAACAGATAGAAATCAAGAATAAATAGCTTTTCTAAGGATAGGGATACAGTGATGAGAAGAAGATTACAACTGCAGCATTTTTACCTATTACATCACTGTCATCATTCAGAACTTTTTAGGCAGAAAATGGGTGGCAACGCCATTCCAAAGCAGATCCAAATCAATATGCTTCCCACTTCGTTTTCATCTTCCTGAAACCCATGAGGGCTGTGATCGTATGTAGCCTTTACCTGAGCCCCATTTAATTCATCTGAATGCATGAACAGAATAGAAAAGAAGAGTCCCCTCAACCATGAGAGATCCTTCCTCCATGCAGAGCCAGTTTCTTACCCTTTCTGCTTGCCTTCCATTTCATTGGGAGTTTCCTGGGGTCTGCTTTCTTCCCTGCTTGATTCCCGCTGGCCTCCACGGCTATCCTGTGCACCTCCGCTTTGCCTTCCCCCTTCTGGGACCTGGGGGCCTTGTCTTCCGCTTTGCTGCCTTACAGATGAAGCACTCTTTCGGCCTTCATTTTGGAGGGGAACGTCTTCAAGTTTATGCTGTTGTCTTTCCTGATACATAGAAATTTCACTCCGTGCACCTTTACTTTGGTTTTGAACGTCTTCAAATCTGTGATATTGTACTACATCCCTCTGTCCTGAGAATACATTTTGCAATACATCTCCAGCTAGAAAGAGATAAGAAAATAGTTAAGTGTGTTTTCTCTGGCTAGAAGAGCACTTCCAGGTGCTTCTAACAACTTCATAATATGGTCCACTGATAAGAAATAATAATAAGAAAGAAAGAGGATAATATTTGTTGGAATGTAGGTAATGGTAAAGGTTTTCTCCTGACATTAAGTCTGGTCATGTCCGTCTCTGGGGGTTGTTGCTCATCTCCATTTCTAAGCCAAAGAGCCAGCGCTGTCATTAGACACCTCCAAGGTTATGTGGCTGGCATGACTGCATAGAGAGGTACCTATTGATCTACTCACATTTGCATGCTTTTGAACTGCTAGGTTGGCAAAAGCTGGGGCTGACAGCGGAAGCTCATGCTGCTCCCTGGATTCGAACCTGCGACCTTTCGGTCAACAAGTTCAGCAGCTCAGTGATTTAACCCACTGTGCCACCAGGGGCTCATGGTGGTGCAGTGTTGTTGGAAGAACAAGGGGTTAACAAAAACTCATGTATTTAGGGAAAACTCTCCCTAAATACATAAAGAGAGAAAGGATACCAATATGTAGAACCACAAAGAATACGAATTGAAGCAATTTTTTTTCTTTTTTCTTTCTTTCTTTCCCCCCTCCCCTTCTCAGCATTTCTCTGCCCCTTTGTCTTTCTGTTCCCCTAACCCCCTTTCTTTCTTTCCTTCCTTTCTCTCTCTGTTTTTTCTTTTTATATATATAATGTATCATGAAAGCTTAATAAAAATCATATAGATATAGATATTGATATTGATATGGATCACTGAAATTGCCATGCCTTGTCACCCCATGCCTCACATCACCAGGCTTCCCCCCTACCTCATTCCATGTGGGGATGTGTCCGCCACCCAGCTTTCTCCCCTACTGATTTCTATTGTAACACAGGAAGGCTCCCGTGTTGCTGCCATGGCAGCATACACTGGTTCCTTAATAGTATTGTGATGGAGCCCCACCAGAAGTAGTTTTAGGTTGTGGGATGAGAGTTAGTGGGCTCTGTCCCAAAACTATAGAGGAAGTGGCATATGCCACCGAAAGTTACCCCATCTGATGAGGTCGCAAAAGTACTCTCTGCAACCGTTTTGGCTAGGTATGCAAAACGATTTCCTTCTACAGCTCAAGAGAGAGAACTCTTGATCTTTTCCAAGTTTAAAGCTTCCACTTTCTCAGCTTGTGTTAATGGAGTTTGTTGCATACCCAGGTATAAATCCGATGTTCAAGAAGGAACGCTGGGCCATAGCCTTTACCCTGATACATTAATACATCTTCCTCCACTCACTCATAAATGTATAAAGCCATTGAAATTACTCTGAGTATCATGAGTGCAAAGTATGTTCCATTCCAGCTAAGGACAGATTTTGGTAGAAAGAACAAGTTGAGTAAAACTCATTTAAACTTTAATGGTAAAGGTTGTGAAAAACTGAGGAAGTAATATTATTTGCAAGCTTGTTTCACCAAGAGACATTTATAGCTTCTGTTGTTAAATGACTTCTCTTCATCATCAACCCAATGTGTGTCTGGATGTCGAAATAAAAGGGAAGGAAACAGACTCAGACAATGTTTGTATTTCTTGTCCTCTTCCCTTTCTTCTGCTGCTCCTTGCAACCTACATTTGAAACATTATTTTCTGACACTCCCAGCTGAATTCTGTATTCTTGCCTTACAGGTTTGTTTCTACAAGACCTATTGCCCGTCATAGCGCTTACAAGTTGTTAGATAGTATCAAAGTCAGTTCCTGAAATGTCTAAAACCTAACATGATTGAATGAGGCAATGTACCAAGTTAATGAGAGCCAACACATAACTTCCTTTGTGTTTTCTTTTCCTCTTCCTTATCAACCAGGAAAGTTCATGACTTGGCATCTGCTACTATAAATCCATACAGAGGATCCAGCCATCAGCTGAGTTCTTAGACAACTATCTTCTGTGTGACACATTTTCCTTATTTGCATCTCAACTAATGTGTGCAGCACACTTAGCCAAAGACAGGAAATACTATCCTGCTTAAAGATGATGAAAAATCATTAGGGCTTTAATATATCTATGTGCCACTGGGAGATGTTCCAGTATCTTGGTCACATCTTGAGATTATTGCAATTCTATCTGCTTGAGAACTCGCCAAACTAGTCTGAGGTAAGCACGCAGACATGAAGGAACAGCCTGTCCAAAAGATGCTGGATCCACTGTCTGAAACTTCCAAGGCTCAGAAATTGATGAATTTGATCCAAAGTTTGGAACAGTTCCTTTTTTGGAAAACAACTTGAGCAATGTATTGTCAAAGGTTTTAATGGCTGGAATCACTGGGTTGTTGTAGGTTTTTTCGGGCTATATGGCCATTTTCTAGAGGCATTCTCTCCTGACGTTTCGCCTGCATCTATGGCAAGCATCTTCAGAGGTTGTGAGGTGACTTGTGACAAAAGTCACAGCCTCTGAGGATGCTTGCCATAGATGCAGGTGAAACATCAGGAGAGAATGCCTCTAGAACATGGCTATATAGCCCCCCCAAAAAACCCTACAACAACCCAACTTGAGCAATTCTCTAACTTTTATGTGGTATGTGTGTGTATGTTTCTTTAAGAGAACTAGACAAATTTGATGGGGTATCTTTTGGTAGGCATTAAACCAGGAGAGATATGAGTCTTTATGGCTAAAGATTTAAATGTCCTGTTCTAGAGACCATTTGAGGCTAAACACAGAAAATGTTTTGTCTTGAATGTTTTCAAATACATTATAAATATATTTTAAACTCTTTCAAACTATGCTTTTTAATAGAACCGTTGTATAATTATTTTAACTTTTGTCACAAGTCAGCTTTCTGCAACCATTGCTCAAAAATATTTGGGGATGAAAAATTAAAAAAGCAAATGCATTTCTACCTCTGTACACTCCACAATTTTTGGTTTCTTGTTATCATAGAATCATAGAGTTGGAAGAGACCCCGTGAGACATCTAGTCCAACCCCCTGCCAAGAAGCAGGAAAATCGCATTCAAAGCATCCCCGACAGATGGCCATCCAGCCTCTGCTTAAAAGTCTCCAAAGAAGGAGCCTCCACCACATTTCAGGGCAGAGAGTTTCACTGCTGAACAGCTCTTACAGTCAGGAAGTTCTTCCTAATGTTCAGGTGGAATCTCCTTTTCCGCAATTTGAAAGCATTGTTCCCGTTAATTGCTACTGAAAGCAAAATATCAGACTGAGTAGATTTGGATCTGACTCAATTAAACACTGTCATATTTAAGCTTAAGACTGCATGCATGAAGTATCCATATTCCTCCTCTTACCTGACTTTTTCTTGTGTCAACACAGTTGTTGCAGTTTCCCATCTCATCTAACACCACCTAGCTTTCTTTTGTTTCTCTCTTACACTTTGACTTCTGGGATTTCTCTTATGCTGTTCCTTGGGCCTAGAAAACCTGTTATTTCCTTTACCAGTCTCATGCATTCTAACAAACACTTCTAATATTTGGGATAGCATGCCTTGAAAACTGCTTGTGTGAACACTGCAGGGTAATGAATCCACATTAGGTATAAGGAGGTATCCATGGTGCTTCACTATGGGCCCTTCCACACAGCCATTTAACACAGAATATCAAGGGAGATAATCCACAATATCAGCTTTGAACTGGATTATCTGAGTCCACACTGCCATATAATCCAGTTCATTGTGCATTTTATATAGCTGTGTGGAAGGGGCCTAAGATGGAAGCCACCAGTTGCCACTGTTGTCCACAAATTTCAAGGAGGTAGCCAGCAGGAGTTATAATGAGAAAAAGGACTTGAAATTGATCTACATCTGGTAATATTTCAATGTATAGGACTGTCCTATTTTTTACATAAACTCTACTGAAGAGAAAGGGGTGAAGATAAATAACCATTGATAATTGCTTTGTATTGAATTGTTTAATTGCTAATAATTTCTGCAAACATGGCTTGGTTCAGGCAATGTCAGAGAAGGGGGGAGCCAAGAAATGCATTGAGAACAAGGGGTTCACACAACAGCTATGAAAGGGAGTTAGGAGGAAGGTGGAAAATAGAAGCCAGGCGCTCCAAGCAGATAGGCTTGCAGCTGTTGTGAGTCCATGAAAGACAATGAACAAAGGCTTTTAACTGATGTTTTGCAGTGCATACTCAGACTGCCTGAAGAAAGGAAGAGGCAAAGTGAGGAAAAGGGAGAGGTTGAGATTGTGAGTGTGATGTTTTAAAAACCATGTATAAAGTTGCTGCCATTTCCTTACTCTGTGTGGTATTTTCGTGTCTTGATTCATGGCAGGCTCACCCCTTAATTCTTTTGTAGAATGAATTATTGTAATCTTAAGAATCTCCTCTAGTCATAGTTGGGAACACAGACTAAGAATTAAAGGCATTGTGCCTCAACACTATAGATCATACTGCAAATACCCCCCCCCCCCCTAGTTTCCTCAAATGTTTGATATACTGAATTTACAGTGAACCATAAGCCAAATGACTTGAAAGCAAATCCAATTGGAAATGTTTTATGGTTATGTATGTGAACTACCCTGGGAGCACTTTGCCTTGAGTGTGCCATACAAATATTTCAATCAAAATTAAAACAAAAGTAAATGCACATGAGAACAAGCAGGGACATCCTTTTCCTGGAGTACTGGCATCTCTCCTGACCACAAATCATCTGAGAGATCTGAACTTCCTCCCTGGGAAGGAAACGGTGTTCATATGGCCTGCCAGGCATCACTCACGAGATGTTTTCCAGGACCATGTCAGCTTATTGTGTGGTTGTTTTCCTCCTTAGGGTAGGATATAGCTCTGGGATGCCTTAATGTCTAGGAAGTATGGGTGTTGTCCCATACTTCATGGCACCACATCAAAGCAAATGCTGTGCCATGTTTACCAGGCCCATAGTGAGGATGGCATTTACAACTTTGTGTTTATGTTCCTTTATGTTGCCTGTTAGCCTACGGCAAACCTACTAATTTCATAGAGTGTTCTTAGAGGTGATTTGCCTTCTTCTGAAATATAGCCTACTGCAGCTAAACATTTTTTGGCAGCCTCTCATAAAATTTCTTGCTGATATCCCTTATCTGGAATTTTGAAAATGGCTGAGGGAGTCACCTTTGTTTTTTTATTGTTATGTGGACACAAACTTTGTTTCATGTAGGTTGGTGAAGGTTTTCCCCTGACATTAAGTCCAGTTGTGTCCAACTCTGGAGATGGTGCTCATCTCCATTTCTAAGCCAAAGAGCCGGCATTGTCCATAGACACCTCCAAGGTCATGTGGCTGGTATGACTGCATGGAGCACCATTATCCTCCCACAGGAGCAGAACCTATTGATCTACTCACATTTACACGTTTTCGAACTGCTAGGTTGGCAGAAGCTGGGGCTAACAGCGGAAGCTCACGCCCTTCCCAGATTGGAACCTGTGACCTTTCATTCAGCAAGTTTAGCAGCTCAGTGCTTTAACCCACTGTGCCACCTGGGGCTCCTTGTTTTATGTATAATGTTATTAAAATTTTTGTGTATAAAATTGGCATCAGGCTATGTGTAGAAGATATATATGAAACAGACTAGGGTTCCATCTCCAAGATATTCCATTATATATATGCAAATATTCCAAAATCTGGGGAAAACCCCAAAATATGATAAAAATTCTGGTCCCAAGCATTTCAGATAAGGGATACTTAGCCTGTACTAACCATAGCCTGTCCTGTTCAGCTAATAGCTTCAGGATAGTTAGGCCTGTCATTCCTCACCCTCCCCCCCCCCCCACTTTTTTTCTTTTTGAGGCACTCTAAAGGTTAACACAACACATCTGTTAGACTTTAAGATCCCACCAGGCTTTCTATTGTTGTCACTATGACAAAATGACATTCCTGAATCTTATTTATTGATGTGATTTTGCAACTATGGCACACTAAAGTTGCAAAACCATATTGAAGTGCCTTGCTGTAAATATGGAACAGAGCAAGGCTCTTCAGTCCTTGAAAACGTATGCCATAATAACTGCACTAGTTTTTAAAGTACCTCAAGAAAAGACAGTCTAAGGAATTAAAAAAGAAAGTGTGGGAGTTTTGGCACTCTACTGCAAAATAAATCCCTTATACCGGGATAGATTAGCTTTTTAATGCCACACCTTAATTTTAGAAAGATTAACATCAGAAATTGGACTTAAAAGATTAACAAAATCACTTTGCTGTAAGATTTCCTGAAATACCACTTTGTATTGGTTAACTCAAGGCAAAAAAATAAAGTAGTGCAGATCTTAATGTATTATATTGAACACTTGATTTCTGTTTGCTTATTCGATTATATTTGTGAGCATATGCCTATGTAAGTGAATGAGAAAGAGAAAAAGATCTTAAACAGAACTGAAATCCCTAAACATATAGTATTGTACAGTACTACTGCAGTCAGTCTCAGAACTCTATTTGTAAAAGCTTAAGAGAGTTTCCAATGGGCTGCTATGAATTTTCCGGGCTGTATGGCAACTTCCTAGTTTCCAACAGACCTCACAACTTCTGACCTCTGCTTGCCATAGATGTGGGTGAAATGTCAGGGGAGAATGCTTCTGGAACATAGCAATACAGCCTGGAAAACTCACAGTAACCCAATGATTCCGGCCATGAAAGCCTTCGACAAAACAGAGTTTTCAATGTTTTCTATGATTTATATTTAATATTTGTCATGTAACACTCCACTGCCAAGATAATACCAGGATATGCTTAGTACAAATTCAGAAATTTAGAAATGCAGTTGAACTCAGCAGATCTGAGATGGCTACAAGTTTATCTCAAAGGCAAACAAATGGCAATACCTAAGTACAAGCATGTGCATATATCCTTATTTCTTTGGACCCTTCTAGACAGGTCCTATATCCCAGGATCTGATCCCTGGTTTTCTGCTTTAAATTGGATTATATGAGTCTGCACTGCTAGATAATGTGGGATAAACAAAACCAGGGATCAAATCCTGGGTATAGGGCCTACCTGGAAGGGCTCTTAGAATCATAGAGTTGAAAGAGACCACATGGGTCATTCAATCCAACCCTCTGCCATACAGGAAAAGCACATTCAAAGTACCCTTGACTGATGGCCATCCAGCCTCTGTTTAAAACCTTCTAAAGAAGGAGCCCCCAAAACACTCTGAGGCAGAGAGTTCCACAGTTGAACAGCTCTTACAGTCAGGAAGTTCTTCCTAATGTTCAGGTGGAATCTCCTTTCCTGTAATTTGGACCCATTGCTCTGAGTCCTAATCTCCAGGGCAGCAGAAAACAAGCCTGCCCCCTCCTCCCTACTACTTCCCCTCACATATTTATACATGGCTATCCTGTTTCCTCTCAACCTTCTCTTCTGCAAGCTAAACATCCTCAAAGGGCCTGGTCTCCAGACCTTTGATCATTTTAGTTGCCCTCCTCTGGACACCTTCCAGCTTCTCAATCTCTCTTTTGAACTGTGGTGCCCAGAATTGGACACAGTATTCAAGGTGTGGTCTACCCAAAGTAGAAGACAGAGGCACCATGACTTCCCACGATCTAGACACCATACTCCTTTTGATGCAGCCCAAAATCTCATTGGCTTTTTAAACTGCTGCATCACACTTTTGGCTCACGTTCAACTGGCTATTCATTACGACTCCAAGAACTTTTTCACATCGGCTGTTGATCTTCCCTAAATTATTATAATTTCTCCCCTAAAATGAGCAAATAATGAATTGGTCATTTCTCAAGAGAAACATGTACACTTGTTGGAGAGAAAACAAAATCGTATTTGAAACAATATATGTAGGTGCAGTTATTTCCACATGTGTTGTCCTTGGATACTGGTTCTGAGAACGACATGACAGTAGCCATCGACGTGTGCAATATATGTCTGCTTTCAGGATGCTCATGAACTAGACCTTTGATAGTTAAGCTGCCTTCTTTCTTTGCCTAAGATGAAAATGGAAACTTGTCTTTGATCACTATTATGCCTTAAGCCCAGTTTCTACAATCCCTCTTAACCATGTACAAAGTTGCTGACAAATACACAGTCATTTTTTTTGTATTGTATGTGACAATCTATCCAGCCACCAGAAGAAGTAGAGAAATTGAGAGTTAGGAATTGAGAGTTAGTGTATCTTAAACAGAAACTGGTCAGTTTTAAGAATGTATTTATAAATTAATTTTGATTTTTAAATTTGCTAATTTACAGGGGCATTTACTGTATTACTGTATTAGTGTATTAAAATAAGTCACACCCAGGTTGGTCCTTAATTTTGCTAAGAAGAGCTCTTAGGAGAAAAGTGGACTTGAGGAGAATGCCCAGAGCATCTCCATTTCAAAATGTTTCTAATCCCCCAAACAAGTGGGAATTTGGTTCATCAGCAGTGATATTATGTTTCATTGATTCAGTCTTTCAAAAAGGAGAGAAAACAATAGAAACCTGTATACCTGTCATATAAAAACAAAGTCTGATAACAAGAAATCATGAAGCTAATGAGTTGACATAATGTTGGTCTTGAAAAACACATCCAGCCCATTAGATACATCCAAAGGCTGGGGGTAGAGAAACATCCAGAGCTGGCATGATAGGGATGATAACACTGGTGTCAAGCAGTATGCCCTTCCTTGCAAGACTGTCCCAAAGCCGGGGGGCCAGGACCAAGAAGGTCCCGTCCCAGCCCTCTGAATCTCCCTCAGAAGAAACACTGAGATGGAACCTACCTCAAAATCAATAAGCAGATGATATGTTTCCATATTCTTGTTTTATGTAAAGACACCCTTCATAATTCATATTGTCATTGTCAATTAAACCATGACACTGAAACCTTCTTTACACCTCCCTGGAGAAAAGGGGTGGAATACGATTTTTTGACAATGCCATTGACACATTTTGGATGCCTTGCTGTCTCTGCATTTCCCGGTCATTATTACCAAAGTGTGGTCAGACGTCTTCAGAGTGTACTTAGCTATTCAGCAATGTCTACTCTTAAGGGTCAAATCACACAAAACATTTCCACATTTCTATTTTACCAATGAAACCTGAAGATGAAACAGAGTAATATACAACAGCTTGCAGCGAGTTCCTGTGGACAGAGACAGGACTGGAACACCACATTCCTCAGATCAGATAAAAGAGCTCAAATACACAAAATCAGTTGTTTTTTTCTGACTAATTTAGTACACAGAACTTCCATAGCCACTGCTTGTATGCAATCTCTTGTCACATAAACTCTCAGAATTTTTTAGAAGAAGACCTTCTTTGCAGTTCTCCTTGCCAGATATCTTCCCCAAGCTGTGGTAGCATCCTCTAACAAAGAAAAAGGCACTGTGGACATTTCACTCTTTGGACTATCATTTCTTAAATCCCCAACCAGCAGGTCTATGTCTATGCTGGCTGGAGAATTCTGGGAATTGTAGTCCAAATATAGTCAGTTCACCAGGCTCTAAGAGCAAACACCATATCCTCTGTTCCTTTTTGTTGCTGATGTTTAGTACCTTTTTCCATTGCTGCTGTATTCCTCCTCAGCTGGGCTTCTGCTTCCTTATGTCTGGCTGCCTCTGTGCACAACTGATGGGAAGACGTCTCAGGCACTTTATGTGTTTATTTGGTAAATGCCTTTGATGCCTTTGACTCAGCACATTGTTACTGCTTTGTTTTCCCTCATTACGTGCCTGACAATGGTGACTGGGTGCTGGCCAAAGCCACCTACCAACTGATTGGATCTGGAAAAGGTAGGGCAGAGGCAAAACCACAAGGATAAGAAGGAGATACTGAGTGCAAAGGATATGACAAGGAGTGTGGGATAATCCATGCATGGCACGTGGAAGCTGAGCCATCTTTATGGAACTGGGTGGAAGAGAGCCAAGAAAGATAAGGGAGCTCATGGAAATCCTAATATAATGGGAACCCCTTCTGGCGGTGTGATTCTGGAAGCTGGATTCCAAAAAAGAATATTTTTCTTCCAAGTCTGAATATTATTAATCATTGCAGGATAAACCTGAAGAATGTGAATTAAATATACGGGGGGGGGGGGGGGGGGGGGAGGATTTAGTCAGATACCAATTGTACAAGTTCTCCCACTTAAAAAGATGACATCATAGGTAGACCTCAACTATGAGAGACAACATGAGAAAACACATCCAGAAAATCACATTGTCTGATTTTTAATGAATTTATTTGCAAATTATGGTGAAAAATAAGTATCTGGTCCATAACAAAAGTTCATCTCAATACTTCTTTTATATATCCTTTATTGGCAATGACAGAGGTCAAAGGTTTTCTGTAAGTCCTCACAAGTTTGGCACACACTGTTGCTGGTATGTTGGCCCATTCCTCCATGCAGATCTCCTCAAGAGAAGTGATGTTTTGGGGCTGTCACTATGCAACATAGACTTTCAACTCCTTCCAAAGGTTTTCTGTTGGGTTAAGATCTGGAAACTGGCTAGACCACTCCGGGTCCTTGAAATGCTTCTTATGAAGCCACTCCTTCGTTGCCCTGGCTTTGTGCTTGGGATAATTGTCATGCTGAAAGACCCAGCCACGTTTCATCTTCAGTGCCCTTGCTGATGAAAGGAGGTTTCCACTCAAAATCTCATGATACATGGCCCCATTCATTCTTTCATGTATACGGATCAGTCATCTTGGTTCCTTTGCAGAGAAACAGCCCCAAAGCATGATGTTGCCACCCCCATGCTTCACAGTAGGTATGGTGTTCTTTGGATGCAACTTTCTCCTCCAAACACGACAACTTGTGTTTCTGCCAAAAAGTTCTACTTTGGTTTCATCTGACCATATGACATTGTCCCAGTACTCTTCTGGATCATCCAAATACTCTCTAGCAAACTTCTGTCAACCCTAAACATGTTCTGGCTTAAGCAGGGGTACATGTCTGGCACTGCAGGATCTGAGTCCCTGGCGGCGTAGTGTGTTACTAATGGTAGCCTTTGTTATGTTGGGCCCAGCTCTATGAGGTTCATCACTAGGTCCCCCCATGTGGTTTTGGGATTTTTGCTCACCGTTCTTGTGATAATTTTGACCCCCACGGGATGAGATCTTGCGTGGAGCCCCAGATCGAGGGAGATTATCAGTGGTCTTGTATCTCTTCCATTTTCTAATTATTGCTCTAATAGTTGACTTCTTCACACCAATGCTGCTTTCCTATTGCAGATTCAGTCTTCCCAGTCTGTGGTGACAATTTTGTTTCTGGTGTCCTTCGACAGCTCTTTGGCCTTCACCATAGTGGAGTTTGGAGTGTGACTGAGGTTGTGGACAGATGTTTTTTATACTGATAACAAATTCATATAGGTGCCATTACTACAGGTAATGAGTGGAGGACAGAGGAGTCTCTTCAAGAAGAAGTTACAGGCCTGCAAGACTCAGAAATCTTGCTTGTTTGTAGCTGACCAAATACTTATTTTCCACCGTAATTTGCAAATAAATTAGTTAAAATCAGACAATGTGATTTTCTGGATGTGTTTTCTCATGTTGTCTCTCATAGTTGAGGTCTACCTATGATGTCAATTACAGGCCTCTCTCATCTTTTTAAATGGGAGAACTTGTACAATTGGTATCTGACCAAATCCTCCCCCCCTCCCCACTGTATATCAACACAAATTATTCAAACCAATTATTCAAAGCCACATTATTTTGAAACTTTGAATGCTGACATCTGAAGAGCTTTCATAGAACTCAGATTCCAGCAGGTGCCTTCTGCTTATCTTCAAGGGAGATCTTGCGGTACAAGTTTAGCATCTCTTATCTGGAATATCAAAATTCAAAATACACCAGAATTCGAAATTGTCCACATGGGTGCCGGACATTGTAAACCTTTTCCTTTTGGATGGTTCAGTGTACTATTGTTATTAAAATTATTAAAATTGTTAAAAATATAGTGTGTAAAATTACATTTCAACTATATCTATAAGAAAATTAATAAATTTTGTTTTTGGGACTGGGTCTCATCTCTAAGGCAAGTATTCCAAAGTTGTTGGGTTTTTTTAAAAAAAATGGAACATTTTGGGTCCCAAGCATTTCAGATAAGAGATGCTCAATCTGCATTCCAATTTTAGACAGGAAATTTGTATTTGGCAATTCATTACTTATTTTTCTACCCTTAGACAAATATTTGTCACCCCTTATTCAGCTTTATATGATCTACCCATCTTGGAAAGCAATAGAATTGTTGTCTGATATGTTGCTATTTATCTCATACTTAATAGCCCAGTTTGGTAGCTGAGAAAGTTGCTTTATTTCCAAACATATTGTAATATAAAGCTATTTTTACAACTTTTGGTTTTATGGAGTCCAGCAAAATGGTTTTAAAGTTATGTTTAATATTTTTAAATAATTTGTTGTCAATTCTGTTCATGTTTTATTCTGTGTTTTGTAAAGGCCATTGACCATGTACAATCAAGTTGATGAAATTATATAAGATACGGACAGATCTCTTGCTCTTCATGGTTTCCTTCATGCAGGAATGCATCATCCAAGCACCCCTGAATGTCCAACGGACTGCTGTGGACTGCTGGCCTGGAAGTTTCTTATGGGACTCGTCAAAATGTCATTCTGCTCATAAGCCCCAAGGCCAAAGGGCACATTCTGGAGCAGATGCTTCCTCTGGCATGAATCTTGAATTAGCATTATTAGTTTTAAGACAATGGAATGATCTGTGGCTTTGAAACATCACACGTCAAGCCATCAAAATCCTGCACATCACACAGGAATCCTACTTGCACAATCTCTCTCTATCACTGGGTTTTTGAATATAATTAAGCTGTTGGGGAAGGTGTCATCATTCAGTATGTAATGAGATCAGGAGGGCTGGGTGTTTGTTTGGGATACTTTTGGGGGGAAAGGCTTAATGGCCTTAAATACCAGTAATTGGACATTCTGTGCTTGAGGGCTCAGGCAGGGCAGAAAGCTTTGGGCACATTTACGGTATACAGGGAGAGTCACAGTATGTGGCCACAATAATTTGTTTTATACATTCCTCAGTAGTATGCGTGCACTTGGATAGCATAGGATGGGTCTGGTGTCATCAGGCAAGACCATCTCCAAAGTGAAGCGCTTCCTCCAGAAAAATGGCATACACTAGTACAAGCAATCATTATGGTCAACGACATTGCCGTTTTCTACTATGTTCTGTCCACAACAATGGATGGGACATGACTGCTGTGCCTGAGAAACAAGAAGGCTCAGTTCACGTTAGCAACTTTGCAGGAGGAAGTCCAAGCAAAACTTTAAAAACAAATTATTTAGACCATGTATTTATTTGTTTCCATTATTTCCTGTGATGTGTTAAAAAGCAAGGTATTGAATCTTTGGATTGTAGCTTGGAAATATTTAATACGGAGTGCATTGATAAAATGGTAACTGGAAAAAGTTCTTCCCTTCCTTCATCTTCTTTTAAAATTAACATTATAGGGACTACTATAATACTACCATACTAATTAATTTTAAAAAATTCCAAACAACAATATTTAGCAACATTAGTAATGACTATGTCCCAAAATGAGTTTTCCAAAAATATTCAGCATATCACAGTATGGATGCATCATACTGCCATAGTAGTGTTATATTAATGTCACACTCCTTTTCAGCAATATTTTGGTATTTTTTAATAGTGGCCTAAAAATTGCATGAATGCCAACTAAAATATCAACTGAAACAGATTTATGAAATAATAAAGTCTAGTGGAAATGCTAAATATGTACTGAGCTGTGTTAGGCTTCCTGTCTGATGCCGTTTTCCCTCTGTTCACATGGTTATCTTTTTATTTTTATTTTCGGAAAGAAAATTGTTATCTTTAATTAATACATGGTAATACTAGCATACCAACACAAAACATTAACCCTTTACTTTTTAAAAAGCTTTACTGTAGTTTCAAGGTCAGAGGCACCAGAAGAGCTCTCAGGCTGAGAATCTGAATTACCGCTAAACTCAACTGCCAATCACAGGATTCAGTAGGAAGTTCCCATGTCATTTATAGAGGAATCTCTAATTGTGTAGAGTGAAAGGGTCCTTTAATATATTGCTTCCATATAATTTATGGTTATCTTCTCTCACACACAAAAGAGGCAACCTCACCATAATCCTTCGCCTTCCCCTAAGGAAGATTCATCCATGCCCCACTAGCAGAGCAATAAGTATAACTAGTTGTTGTATGCCATCTTTATTTATCATTAGCTCTAAGTTTTGATTATTGGAGAAGTCTACTAATCAGAATAATGTTCATGGCACAGGACAGTAGAATAGTAATATGGAGTCTGTCTCCACAAAGAGGAAGATGTTTTCATTCTGCAACATTCCTAGCAATGCATGTTGTGGAAACTATGTCGGACTAGAAAGGTCTTTGGTCTGGCCCAGAAGGGTACTGTTTTAACACACACTCAGAAAGTTACTTCAACATGCATTTTTAATCTGCATTTCATTTAGGATGCAAGGTTCAACTCTGAATTTTAATAGCATTTGGAGAAAATGCTGTCAACTGCTTAAGGTTGATGTTCAAGATGCAACCTATCTCAGGTCATTCATACAACTGATGGGGACTTAATCATTGACTCTTCTGCAAATGTTTTCCAGTCTTTGCCCAGTTGAAATAGCTAT